GGGGGGGTTGAGGGACATGGTCTGAATAGTATTGTTGGAGTTGTCGTCAGGAGTATTTTACCTGTTGATGTTGGCGCTACTGCTGCTGTTTTTCTTTTTGTTGTATTTGTTGTTGTTGTTGTTGTTGTTGTTGTTGTTGTTGTTGTTGTTGTTGTTGCTGCTGCTGCTGCTGTTGTTGCTGTTGTTGCTGCTGTTATTCTTGCTGTTGTTGATGATGATGTTGTTGTCGTTGTTGTTGTAATTTTTGCTGTTGTTGCCATGATATTCTCAAGCCCTTATCAGTTTTCTCAATCGGTTAGGGGTTTACAGTTGTTATTTCTTCATTCAAACTTAATTTATCTTTTTAATATTGCTGATCATATTGTCGGTTGTTTGTGGATGATATGGTGCCGCTTGCCCCTTCTATCCTATCACACATCTATCTTCATTAGCTGTTCTCTTTTCATGTAGGTTACTCTCTTACACATTTAATCTTATGACTTAATTGTTATGGCGCACTGTGTGTAATGGAATTGGCTTCATCGTCATTAAGAATCAGAATTCCGTCCAACATCGGAGATCATGATTCTCCATTAATTTCTTTGCTCAGATGCTTTCAAAAAAAGTAAATTACCCAGGTCATTCCTCTGTCACCCGTCTGTCTTTGCTCTCCAAGTGGGTTGCTCTCAATCTACCCCTGCTTCGCTTGCTTTCAATTTTGCCACTCGGAGCAAAATGTTCAACGTCTTTATATACGTATCTTCATATGTTCAAGAAACTGCTTTGTATTTGGCTTTTTATTAAAACATTGACTTAGTACCTCCATAGACACTCTAAGATTATAAGAAAGTGATATCTCATAATTTAACGCCAATTTAAGAACTGGTTGTTGAGAAGAACCCTTAAATCTCCCAGAAAACTTGAGTATGAAAACGTACAGACTTAGGATGGAAACCAGTAGGCCCCACTAACGACAACATATTCAAGCTGAATACCCACACAGCTCTCTGTGAATCACAAGTGGGACGTTAAAACATCAACAACGTCGATCAGCTTCGTATGCTGGTCTATATGCCCGGTTTCCTTTTAGTGATCTCGAGTTCTCGGGAAGGTCACACAGCAAATTGTCATTTAATGCGACACATGGGCAGCTTGTGTCCATGATCCCAACTTCATTTGCAATTCTACTCGCCAACAAAATTCCGTGGTTGGCTACTTTCACCTTTTCAAAAGAGCTAGATAGGGCTCACTGGTATCTGTGGTGTGGTTGTCAAGCTCTTCTTGGTTGGGCAAAGAAGGCTTTAGTTCGATTACCCGAACGAAGGAAATTGTGTCGCCTTATATATTTATGCCTTTTTCTATCTAGTAGTCTGAAGTGCCCCGACACACAGGGCCGAAAGAACTCCAAAATGAACCAAATTATTCCTGCATAAGTGACATTCAGTCAATAAATCTTTGACAGCTTCTTCGAAAGAAGCCTGGAAACTCATAGAGATTGGAAGGTAAACTGGCAGAATCATATGCATATAATATACAAAATATTACCATGACGTGCAATTTGTAGTTACGTAGTATACACTCAAGAATACATGTGCAGAAATCGCAGATGTACATTTATTCATACACACACACTTCCAAACAAAAAACCAACTAAACAAACACGTAATCACACATACATTATCATAAACTTATAAATTACAGGTTGAAGGAGGGGCATAGCTGGAAAAAATCTCTTTTGCAATAAAGAATTGGTGTTCGCGTTTATTTACGCAGCTAAACTAACCGATGCATGCACAGACTCACTGACAAATACGCACGAACACAATAACATCAATTAAGAATCCCTCCCC